AGTAAAACTTTAATTCATCAGTTTTATTCCACTGAACAAGGTTTATGTCAAAAAGTAGGAAGAGTAGTTTCGTTAGTATATGAAAAGTATCATTTATTTTTGATCAATAATTTCTTTAATTCACATACAAATCGTCTCTTAATCATACTAGATATGTAATATCTATTGAAATTTATTCAAAATCAAAATTCTATTATTTATTCTAGTTAATTGAAGATTCATTACAAACAAAACGTCTTCAATTAGCATTTGAAGGTATAAATGAATCTTCTAGTACGGATAATAATCAAAATTTTAATGGACTTTATTCACTTATTCGAACCAGTATTGATACAGAACAACGACGAGCTTATCAAACAGTCAAATATCTTATAACTCTATCGAATCAGTACGTTCAGAAACTCATGTCTTTTTTTTTTATAAATTATTATTTGATATTAGATTTAAAAACAAAATATAAGAAATTCTTTGCTTTTCTTTGTAGAAGTAATGCTTGTAAAGATTATTTTTCTTCAACTGCTATTCAATGGGAAGCAGCTATTAATTGGTTAAAACAACAAATGCAAACATCATGGCAATGGTCACCAGCACATAATATATCTAATGAAGACACTGATATACGTTCATTTCAACGTACACGTAGTGCACAATATACTTTAGAACAAGCTCAATCTCTTCTTCAACAAACAACAATATTAAATAAAAATATTCATAATAATACATCGACAAATGAAATTATAGAATTCAACGATATTAATAATTATTCATCATCATCATCACAATCAACATTGGTTGGAGCGGATTAATTCATTCATATCCATATGTAAAAATAAAAAAAGATAGATACAAAAAAAAACTCCGGTGTATCTGTGTGTGAGCATGACTAGTAATAAGATCAATTTTTTTATGTGTTATTGACATAATGCTTCTTTTTTTGGTTCATGTTTTTTTTCTTTTGATCGACTGAGAACAGTCGGTACTTTGATACTTGATTTTTTTCTACTACTTTTTTTTGTGCCTAAATTACATTTGGTACTAAAGAGAAAAATAATACTAAAGTAAAGTGCGCATCTGTGCTACGCGTATTACTAAAAGATATATATATATATACATGTATGTAACTTTTTTTGTCTAAAAGAAATAAAAAGAAAAAAGGAAGTTTGTATAAAGAGAAAAAACAAACAAACAAGTTTTAAATTTCATATTCTAGGTTTTTAGACATGACTCAGCAAGCACAAAATATTCTTTTATGATTGTTGTGTAATGAACTAACCATATTAGCTTTTTGTGAAACACGATCTAAAAGAAGTATTGAAATAGATAAGGTAGAAATTTATATCTACTATTCTCCACAGATCGTGACAGATGCCTTCACAGTAGTGTGCACGATTTTAGTCCAATAATTATTTGGAAAAAGAAAAATGAACGAATGAATAATATGAGTGTCATTAAGGGAAGATTCACATCCAAACTACTCACTTTCTCATTTCTCTACTTCGAAATAAGCAACGAAAAATAAAACCTCACGCCAGAAAAGCGACAGTTGGAATATGTTTTTTTTTTATTAGATTGACAACCAAGAAAGCTTGTAAACCTTTAGTAACAATCTCCTCTCTTCTTTACAGACGTTGTGGATGTACGGTCTTTGATCGTATGTCAATAACATCTTGTTATAATACATGAAGTACTTCACTATTCTAGTTCTGAAGGATTACGTAGAAGTATGATATATCCCAAAAAAGTTAGAATAGAACAAACTCCTTGTGATTAGCAATAGTAGCTATATTGTGTTTCACATGTTAATCCCACAGGGATTGCATGAACATCTTTTTGTTCTGTATAAAACATATTAGAAGTAGACATCAATCAGAGATAAGAATAGATCAAGTTTTTGAAAAACTGATAATTTAGCCAACTGTAAATTGAACTTGTTAATAATATGTTTATTTGAATAGAATGAAAATTGGCTATCGATCTCCAATGAATTCTTATTTTCAATAAATGAACAAGTCTTCTATTGTGTAAAAAATAGACTTACAAAGCCTTACATTTGCAAAAAAGAAAAATCATTAATCAAAAAAAAAGAAAGAGAAAACAAGAAAGAAAATAGAAATATGTTTAATATAAATTACTTTCTTAAGAAGACAATAGAAACATGAATGACAAACAGAATAAATGGAAAAATAAGACAAAGAAATAGATATTATTAATCATATGAATATTAATTATATATTAAACTCATTAACAAGTATTTTAAGATCTATATGTAAATTTTACATGTTTATAGAGTTAGAAAATAAAATTTGAAAGATTTTAACTAATGAACTTTTTTGTCGAATACAAAAGTACATTGCCTGAGAAATTAATAATTAAGATGATCTTTGATATCAATAGGTTTAGCTGTAATGCACAAAAAACTCAAAACTGCTCATGTACAGATTAAACTGAATCGATTGATTTAACAATAATTTTTTCCGGGACAAATTTCATATTATTTTCAAAGATTCTTCATTTTGTTCAGGTTGATTATATTAGTGCAATACGCAAGCATATATAACTGTGTCCTTGAGAATGCATCTGCACTTATTGTTCTTTATTATTTTCAAGATGAATCAATATGTAGTCATACAGATAATTATTTTTTGTTTTCCTAAGACAATATCCGATTTATCGCAATTTAATCATAGTTATATTTTTATGCTTTCATATACGTGTATGAAGAAGACAAAAAACGAAATAAACTTAGTTCTATAATTATATCATAGCATATTAAATGTCCAAGGCCATAAAATGAAACTCTCTGAACGCCTATTCTCTTGAGATTTCCTTTATTTCTGTAAAAATTTCTACTTATATAGAGCTATTCTTGTGATTATTGTTAAATTTAAATAGTTTTATCAATTGAAAAATAATATCACATTTTTCTATTCATTTTCTATTGTTCAAAACGGATGATATAAAAAAAACTGATAATGACATGATTATGAAAAGTTTGCTATAAGTCTAAATCTTCACAAATATTACATGTTTAAATTAATTAAACAGAAGATTTGTATTGTAACTAAATACTCTATCATATATTTGATTGATTCATATCGAAAGACAAAGAAAACAAATTTAACAATGTTCTTTTAAAATAAATATTGAAAAAAAAAATCATCATCAATCAATCAATAATAATGATGAATTGGTTGCATTTCTTTTCCTCTTTTTTTTTCTTTTATTTTATTTATAGAAGTTCATCAAATAAACAATGATGTTGTCGTTAGTCATGAACGCTCATTTATCGACATTTTTATTTAGTTAATAGAATAATACGAAGAAGATGATCGATGTTCTCCTTTGCAGACATATAAAAAAAACAAGTGTTCGACGACAGATTGATTGATAGTTAACAAGTGTTTGTTCTTTTCTTGTACAATTCACGTAGCCAACAAAATAGAAAAAAGTCAGAGATAACATACCATCCAGACGTATGCGATTTGTATACTCTCTATGGCTTCTTATTTAGCAATGCGAGAAAAAAAAAATAAGAAAGATAGCAACAAGAAAATGATGAACTCTTGTCCAGATTGAATAGATGTAAATTATTCATATGATAATTCTGTAGAGCATTAAAAAAGCGATATGAATTGAATATTAATGAAAAAAGAATATTGTCAATTTCTGTTTGATTTGCGACATCGAATAAAATAGTTCCAAAGTCTATTTTATACATTGTCATCTAGTTGTTGAACTAATACTCACAACACAATTAAGATAAGCATGTCGTTTTTGGCTTTCTTTTTTGCTTTCAATTGAAATGATCATAGAAAATAAAAAGTCTTACTATAATGCATTTATCGTATTCCTCTGTTTACTTAGTAACCCAGTTGTTGTTTTTTTTGTTACATAGATTCATGACTCATACGAAACTGGAATATATTTAATTAGATAGAGCGTTGTTTGTTCCTTAAGTATTTGATATGTTATTTGATGTGTCATTTGATGTTGCGTATTTTCTTTTGTGTATTCGTTAAAGAACAATGTTGTGTGTCTGTATGTATGTGCAGAACTTGAATCAACATCATCATGCTGCTTCAATGAATGATTATACGAGAAAAAAAAAGATTAATTATATATTTAATCTAACTGTTCTTCATAGAAAAACCTTTACAAAGTTGAGATATAAGAAATAAAATGTCAATATTAGAGGATAATTTACTTGCTAATAATAGAACGTTTTTTCTCACATTGTGAACATGTACATTAGTATGATATAAGCATGCATGCACTTGATTAACCTCTGCTCACTATCGATTTGAGTCAATTGTTTGAACGAGTAAACATACTGATCCTATTTCTATAGAATATATCATTTTCTTTTTATTTGTAGAGCTTTCGCCATGTGCATGTTATTGAACTACATTATTCAGTATCTTTTGCCAGTGATCATTCTACATGTAACTTGAAAAGTTCGAGATAGTACTGTCAATCACAAAAAGAAGAAAAAAGCAGAAAGAATGTGCAAACATGTTTTTTCAATCCCAATGGAATCCGCAAAGACTAAACCATCGACACTCTTATTCCATCTATTTTTACATTTGTTGCGTTCGTGTCGATAACGGACCCTTGGCATCTTCTAGATATGATGATTTTTCTTCGCATCGTTACGATGAAGAGAGAGAGAGGAAAAATGAGTGTGTTTTTTCTTTTCTCTTCTGCCCAACTAGCGTACCATTGATTCTCTTCGCTGCATATTCCAAACAAGTTTGCACGCACCAATAATGCTGCTTTAACCGGACGCCTCGATTTCGTGATGCTATCATTCTCTCTATCTCTCTCTCTTTCTCTCTGCTTCTTTCTTCTATTTTCTAGCTTATGTAAAGAGAAGAAATAGAAGAATGTGATGGAGTCATTTTTCATATATCGTTATTCTACGTCGGTCATTTTATTTTAGATTTGCATTCATTTCTATATACATCTGCTATATACATCTACTATATACGATTAAAATCATAATGACTGCTCTTCGAGTTTTTCCATTTATTGGTGCACTTATTGCTATTGCTGCTGTTGTATTAGCAATTATTGGTGTATCAACTACCTATTGGGTTTCAACAGGACTTAATATACATTCTGGTAAGAGAAAAAAAATTTAATATTCGAAACCCGGAAAAAATAGGATTCGTTTTTTTTAAATGATTTTAGGCCTTTGGCAAAGCTGTACAGCTGGTATTTGTATACGAACTGATGGTGGACGAGCAGCTGCTTTCGCTCTTACTGTATGAACAAAAGTTGTTTTTGTTATAACATTTTATTTGTTTTTATTGTTGTTTAGGCTCTCATCGCCATTGGTGTAGCTGCTCTTTTGGCTATTTTCAGTGGTTTAGCAAGAAATAAATCCGATGCAAGCAATAACATGGCTCGTCTTTGTGGTATTATATCTGTTATTTTACTTTTTTCAAGTGGTGTTCTTATTGCTGCATCACTTTATACATATCTTGGTGCAAAATATGCTACTGGATATTCATTTACACTCATGGCTATTGCACAATTTTTGAGCTTTCTTGCTGCTATGCTTGTTGCTCACTGGATGGTAATTAGAAATCTTTACATTTAAATAAAGTTTTTTAAATATTATTTTTTTATTTTAGGGACATTCATTTACTGTAATCAGTTAAATGACAAAAAAAAGAAAAGAAAAAGAAAACTTATATTTGTAAATTTCTATGCTATATCACACATTCATAGCTTATGAACTTTTCTTTTCTTTTTCTTTTTAAGTTGTTCTTGATCGAAAGAGCTACTTCGTTTGTTTTGATAAATCATTTTTCTTTTTTTTTGTTGTTTTTTTCTATTACATTTAATTCAGCTGAAATATATACTCGTTTTTCATGTTTGTTTGTTTATTATTGTATGTGCTTATTGTTCTGTTGTTTTCATAAACGAAAATATATTAATGAAAATCCAGATTCAAATAGTTATGTTTTATATGTGATCAAAAAAAGAATTTCATATTAGAAAATAATTTTCTATGATGTTGAAATTTATCTTCAAAAAGATATAAACTAGAAAAATTTTCTTTTCTTACGGCAAAATTTATTGAATTATTTATTAATTGAATTTGTTGCTATAAGAACTTAATTGATAAATCATTTACGATCCATCAAGAATGACGATTTACATAGTTTTTCAATATTTTCTTTCGTTTTCAGAGATTTGAATTGAACTTTTTCTCAAAAGATTTACCATTCAATTCTTTCAACAGCTTAGAAATACAAAATATGATTAACCTGTATTTATGTGTTCTTATTTCGAATTATATAGACAAATAGTACTATCCATTTTGTAGAACTTCAAAGGCTGTGTCTTATTTTTATATTCAAGAATTTTCATTGCAAAGCCTTATTATTGCATAAAATAAGGAGTATTCTTTTATATTTTCAAATAAAAAACAAAAAACTCAATTTTTTAATTTGAAATAAATAACATTTATTTTATGCTATGATGTTTCTCTATGAAAATTCTTGAACATAATAATAAGATAGAGCTTTTGAAGTTCTACAAAATGGATAACACAATTTGTCTACATAAGGTCGACATGAGTACACATAAATACAGGACAACTATATTTTGTGTTGGGAAGTTGTTGACGTTGTACGTCTGGAGTATTACCACAGTAACTCTTGTACTTTTATCTGTGTGACATCCATCTGTATATGGTTTTTGAAAAGTATAAAATGTGGAATTTTTATAGAAAAAAAAGTTCAGCTCGAATCTATGAAAACTAGAGCAGATATTAAAAAACTGGAGACTTGTATTCTTTATGTGCCATTCGTCAATATAAATAACATTGTTCTTATGTTTTTTTTTAATTTTAAATCTTAGTTTCGGTTTTAATATAACGTTTGGAGATTTTTAATCTTCAAAATGATCTTTCTCAATTTGAAAATATATATGACAATTAAAGTAAACAAAAATAATCATGCATATGTTATAAATGTTGAACGGACTTTAGAAATATTTATAAATCATACAATATGACTTGAAATTCAAGTATTGCTTAAGATACACTTTTTATTTATTCATACATAACGTGTAACAAAACAAAATTAGTTATTCATATTATCAATTATTTTTCATCATACTATGTAATGATATTAAGGCATGGTCATATTTCAGTGTTGTACTGTATGCTTGATAACTACTTACAAGTTTCATTCAACATCTGTACAGTATGCATTATTATTTTAATATTGCTGTTTATTTTACTTACCAGACAGTCTTTGAAAGACCAAAAATGACCAAAACCTATACTCAAATAAAAATAAAAGCTAAAAATAAAATAAAAGCATTAAAACAATGTTATTAATCCTACATATTTTCTTATGTTTGAGTGAGTCCTCCATTGGAATAGAAAGTCTCGAGTTTTCTATTGCACTCCATTTATGTTCATAATTGTTAATTTTAGGAGTTTTTCAAGAAGCTCAAACGATTTTGAAGATTTCGGTAGATATTTTCAGGGATTTAAAAAATCTAGAGTTAATCTTCGTTTCAGTCTTTAAAAACTTTCAACTGAAAAGTCTGAAAACTAAGTATGTTTTGATATAAATAAACTTATTAATGTTCCAATTTTGTGAGAAACTATTTAATTCAAGGAGATCTTTTATTAAGCTCAGCGTGTCGTTTCTTCAAAGAGAACTTCTATTATGGTGAGGGACTTAGTTTGATTATTTCTCAAGATATACCGGGTGTGACAAAAGCTATGCGATATTGTTTGTTTTGCATGTATCTCTGTTCAGGAGCATGAACAATAGTTGATTTTTTTTTCAAAAGATGCATTGTCGAATTCTTCACGAATTTCTATTTATTTGAATTTAGAACAATAAAACTGAGCATTGTTATGGGTTGCAAAGTGTGATTATATGAACTGTTTCTATGTCTTAAATATTTTTTTTTGTAATCTATGCTTTTCGTGGAAGCGAATATTTAGTTCGTAAAATATAATTTATTGCTAGACAGCTGTTAAAATTCCTCGGTCAATTATTTACATACAGGAAGTTTTTCAAATGCTCATTCTTTCAGTTAGATGCATGGTCATATTTGGAAAATAGCACGATTTTCATACTTGGTTAGTCCTTTTTAAAGAAACCATTCTAGAAGTGTCACTTATGATCAAACCATTTTCCTTTTTGCAGTACTTTATAGAAAATTGATTTCTCTTTCTATATTGAGCTTACATAACGCGTGAAAAAACCAAGTCAGATGGAAGAAGAATCCAAATACTATCAACAAGGCCCTTTTAGTTATAGGAGCTCAAATAGGCCATAGGTTTTAGATAAATATGGATTGTGATCACACACTTACAGTTAATTCTAAAAGAGCATTTGATATAAATTCAAATTATAATCAGAAAACTCTTATGCGCCTGTTGATAATTTGGAAAAATCGTTGGAAATATAGAAAAGAAAAAGTGTGGGAAATAGAACCAGTTCATATAATTACACTATACGACCTATAAAAATGTTCAATTCTATTGTTCTAAATTAGGGCAAACAGAAGTTTGCAACGAATTTGACAACGCATCTTTTTAAAAAAATCGACTTTTTGTCATGCTCCTGAACAGAGATACATGGAAAACAAACAATATCGCAAAACTTTTGTCACACCCAATAGATCTTGAGAAATAACGTGTTTGTTTGCTTATTGTTTAAGAATATGGACTCGAATAAAATAGCAACTAAAACTTTGATTACATGTATGTCCAACAATGATTTATTAATGTCAGACTTATTAAATCCAGCTTTGAAAAATCAATACGTCCATCAAAAAAAAAAAATCACAAGATTTTTATATGAAATTAGCAAAGCACTTTTTCTTTTTCATATTAGCTTAAGAATGGAAAGACTTCCTTAGCAGTCACGTAAAATGTAGAAAGAAAAATATAATCAATAAAGTTTAAGACAGTCGTCGTCCTAGAGATCCCAGCAATATAGTCAAGTCTGATCATCGTAAATATCTCATGGAAAAGATTGATTTTTATTGAAAGTTAGATGAAAATCAAGAAAAATCGCTTGTCTAAGTGATTTAATCGTGATTCGATCTTATGATTAATCTACCTCATAAAGCACTATAAAACTCCGATTTTGATCATATCGCTGATCATTCCATAGTTGTTCATTGAAATATACATAAGAAATAGACCCGTATACGAAACAGTCAAAAAATAGATCATTTGATGTACAATTTGTAGTACTTTTTAAACATGACTAGTTTTTTGAAAAAAAGGACTTCATTTAGAGAGGTGCAAGTTACGTGCTATTATTTTTTTTTTCATCTGTTATCTCACAAAGATTTCGATTGACTGAAAACACATTCGAAAAAACTATATCCATCAAAAAGTGCAATAAATCACTTCGTTTTTCTTTTTCCTATTGATTCCATATGTTTCTAAAAGTTTAAAGTTATAACCTAGAAAAGCAAGAGATTTGGTAAGCATAATCAATGCAAGTACTTAGTTGAATTATTCGATCAATTAAAAAACAGCATTATTGTGAAAGTATTGGATCGAATTTGAAATTAAATTAAATCAAAAACAATTAGCTATAATTTTCATTTTCGTTTAACTTAATATTTTCCTCCTTGATGAGTAGTAGAAGAATAGAATTTACTGATGATATTTTGGATCATCAATTGTTTTTTCGAGTATTAATTTTTCCTTATCTCCTCTTCAGTACATCTACATGATTCACACAACTACTCATTCACACTCAGGAGTTTATTTTTAGGGGGCAAACGGATTAATGCATAATCAATGCAATTATTATATAATGCAGTAAATTAGATTATTCTCCAGATCAATGATACTCCTATGCACTGATTGATCTAGTTATCAGAGAACATGAACGAATATCAGTGGCGTGATGCTGTTGATCTGAAGAAATACCGAAAACATCGTTGACAAGATTAATATCGTGATTTATACATTGTTTGCTTTGCATACTATACTTTGATTCCTATTCATACCGGCGACACCATTAACCAACTAGTCTGGTTGTAAGTGAGAAGCACTACAGTGAGCGTGAGGATATCAAAAAGTGTCAAAGTGAAATTGTCGTCGGCCTCAAGTATCATCTATAATTTATTGAGAAACGACAATGCGCAATGATCGCTAAAAAAGAAGTTCGTGACCAAAAATACAGTTACCTAAATCGAATTCCAGTGGAAATTCTTTTATCAGTTGTAGCATTTGTGAACAAAATATAAAAAGTAACATAAAAAGGCACTTACTAGACGCGATAAAGATTAAGTGGAACACTTAGTTACTTTTTCCTATGTTAAATAACATATTTGTTTATTACATGAAAAACTGAATAGCTATCTAGTTAAAGCTACAAACAATATTTCTTATCAATAAAGAATACCCTCGATTTAAAGTTTATTGACAACAATGACATTTTTCTGATAATTTTACAAGAACTAGCATACGACCTGACAATATTTATCAGAGAGCGAAAACGAACAGAACCGAACTCAAACCGACTTTTTGAAAACACATCCAAACAGAACTGAGCCCGAACTGATTCGGAAAAAATGAATTCGAATCGACTCGAAATCGAACCATTTCTTGAAAAATGATGTCGAACTTAACAGAACCAATATTAATTGACCTATCACCTCTTTTGTAAAAACATATATTGTTGAAAATGTTCAAGCGACCTTTGACCGATTGTTTCACACAATTAATTCAACCTCTATACGGTGCTTCGTTCTCTGATGTGTCATTGTTATGATTCATAACATTGGCACATAATGCGTCCATGACGATTGGTCATTTGTACGTAGCGAAATTTTTTAATTCAATTCTCTTTTTCTCTGATTGTTCTCTGATGCAAAGAGCAGATGGACGCTGGTCTAATTGGCAATAGCATTTTATTTTTATAAAAGGATAAATATAAAGGAGTTGAATAGAGACTGACATGCTTGTTGCAGTTCAAGATGAATCAATATTTTTACATTGGACGAGTGATCTTACGATACAATCGTGATGCATACTCGCAGTGTAATTTAGACGCTTTTCTTGTTGTGATATAAAATGTGGGTTAAATCGAACCAAACCGAACTCGGATTAATTTTTTGAAAATATACTCGAACTGAACCCGAACAGGCTCTCGAAAAATGAATTCGAACAGAACCCAACTCGCACTAATTTTTTAGAAATGCACGCGAACCGAACCGAACTCGAACCAATTAAAGTCCGTTCGATTCGCTCTCTGATATTTATTCACTCAACATCAATCTTTTATTTACATGAACCCACCATTTTCTTTTCGTCAATACATCGATAACATGATGTTTTTCTTATCATCAAAAATATCAATTGGCAGTAAATATATTTTTCCCTAAAGTTTACGTGACATGAAATTGATTCAACTTTCTTTTTTATCGATACAGTCTTAGAGAATAAAATGATATTCAAGGTAAATTTTAACAATAAATCCAATCTTGATGATCTTTTGGTCGACAAGCTGGTGGACAAGTATTGTTTACATTCTGAGAACTATGAGACGTTGTATGAATACAACATGGTCTTATGCATCCAAGAAAACAATGGTCGGCTACTGGTCGTTGAGAAAGAAACGGCTGACCACCCAATGACTCACAACTATAACTATCGAATATCAATGAACGTTTTTTAACATTTTCCCAAATATTGTCCGAAAGAAATAGTTGATCACCAGCACCTTTATATTGTTGAGCAATTGATGGAATAAGCATCGGTTGAAAAGTACGAAATAAATAACGACGACTACGTCCAGGAGCTGCACCCCAAAGTCCACCTAATATAGGTACATTATGTTGCTTATTGTCCCGTGCAATATGAAAGAAATATCTTCTCTTTTTATCAGATGTCCACATATCAATTGTTTCAGTTTCACGTTTCATCATAGGTGAATCAAGATCACGTGAAAGAAAAAAATCAACATATGGATCAAAGATTGGTAAAAAACGCCACATCTTTCCTGGTAAATATGAAACTAATGATGAACCAAACATAGGTAGATTGTGTATATCACATATATCAATATTTGAAAAATTATACAGTTTATCTTGTTGAGATTTTGTACTACCAGTAAAATCAATATAGAGCCGAATAATCCATGATGGAAGAAGTGTTTTAACTTCATTAGCAAGTGGTATTAAAAATGGAAATATCGATGTTTCCCATGTAAACATTGCATTATCAGTATAATTTGATGATGATCCATAAATTGAAATACCAATCACTTTTTGATGTGGTCCACGATGATCTGATTGAATACTACATAATGATCGGTTCCATTGTGTGAAATTTTCATAAGAATATCTTTGTTTTTCTTCTGAAAAATTCAATGATTTAGCATTCGAAGCACTTGTTGGGCTAACTTCTGGAGAGTTGAGTGGTTTTATTGTTACTGGAACATGATATTGAACATTTCGTGTTTTCGTATATGGACTTGTTAGAAAAGAGAAGAAACCAGTATGAAAAGCAGTAATAGAAAATCCAACGATAAAGAAGCTCGCTAAGCACAAATATTTTCGTCCACATAGATGACGATAGTAACATTTGACCATTTTTTTTTGTATTGCCATCGACATTCTTTTGCATACTAAGAGTGCAAGAAGAATGCATTGATGTGTGACTTTTAGAAGAGCAAAGCACACGTTTTTTTTTTTGTACAGATGCAGTTTTACTTTCCTTGATAGGCGTCAATGCACACTACTGAATATATGGGAATCAGAGAAGGACAAAAAAAAACTCTTTTTCTTTCATTAAACTAATATCTATTTACTTCATTGGTGAATATTTTTCATTACTATAGTCAGTAACTTATTAACGTGTAACACGTATTATCTATTATTATGTAGAAATATTCTATGTTATCTCGAGTTAATGATACATATAGGTTTAATTTATCAAGATTTGTCTATACATATTTTACCTTCATATTCAGATGAATGGTACTATAGACTATCGTTTTCTTCTTACATTGGCGACAAAAAAAATGATTATTAACATGAAAATGCGCTTCGATACCTTGAGATTAGATCAAATATAAATTACCACGAAGAAAATATATGTAGCTTTTTATTTATTTCATTTTATACATCTTATATTGAAAAATGGAAATTTTCGATGTAACTCGGCCATTTAAACAGAAGACGATTTACTCCTTTGAATAAAGAATTAAACTCCATGATAATAAGTAAATGGCAGTATATTTTCTTTTGTTAATTGATATTTGACTGTATCTCAAGGTATAGAAATTCGTTTTTTCTATTAATTATAATGATCTAGCAGAACATACAACTTGAGTAATTTGATTATTTATTTTTATATTGGAATGATTCTTGTTATTTCAGAAATGTTAAACCGACCTACAGAATCGAGTTGTTTGCTTTTGAATGCGTTTAGATTCATGTTACCATACAAGTCATTATGATTATTAGATTATTATTTAATTTAGTTCTTGTTTATTATCGGTTAATAGATTTGTTTGTTTGACTGAAAATAATGGAATAAGGTCGAAACTTCCACTTTTTCATTATGAAGTATCAAAAGTCGAATAAATAAAAAACTTCATTGAATTTCTCTTTTCGATTAAAAAACCTAATTATTTTAGCGAAAAGTCGAATTCATGTATACACTGACTGCAGTTTATTATGTCAATATATTTTAACTATAAGGTGTGCATACGAAAAAATATTCATTTTTCTTTCTGACATATACGCAATCAGGTAAAAGAAGAAGAAATCGATTTGTCGACCTAGTTAAAAAAAGAGTCCTACCAATCACGCAATAGTAGGTATCTAAATCTTTCACAATGGTTTCCATGCATACAAAAAAGAAACTCGTATAGAGCTACTCATAATAACTAAGTAAATGATTGATAAGTTATTTTTTTAAGTTTATTTAATAGAAATAGTAATGAAATTGTTGTGATTAACAACAAATGGGAACTAATTAATATTATATATTCACATTGATTAAACGGCACTAAATAAGATTTGAACTAACTAAGTCGATTTTTCTAGAAATTTATGCACTTAGATCATCGAAATTACATGAATAAGACTCATCGATAGGATTTTTGCTGATGGCGAAACTAGAGTGAGCTTGTGCAAGCTTTCACGAAATAAAATTAGTATATGATACACGTAAGAGCTCAGGGTAAAATCATTAGAATATATGTATATCTTAGGTTACACTAATCAGTATAATAGATAGAAGTTGTTTAATCTGCATCTAATTCATAGTTAACTTGGTGAATTTAGAATATATTTCATACTCCGAAAAGTAAATATGTTGTTTTTTAGCTAATCGAAGTTTATTATTTTTGTTTAATATCGAAGTTCTGACTTACATTTAGAAATACAATGAATTCTATGATACCATTCATCATGAAAATCTTTTCTCCTTCTTCATAGTTTCAGTTCTATGTTTGTATATTTCATTATTTCAGCTTAATGGTAATATGAAATACAGATAGTCCATTTTCCATTGACAAAAATTCATAGCGTTGATAGCAGGTTCTGCAATATATCGAATTTACTTATATTAATAGTCAAATCAGAGTTTTAATTGGTCCGATCCGACTGAATCAGTCGACTCTAACTGGTTGAAAACTATTTTATAGGTATGCGATTTTCCCTTCTGATAAAACTTGTAGAAAAAAAGTTTACGAATTCTTATCAAAATAACCAACCAGTTTTATTTCAAAATTTTTGTTTTATTCTCTCCTGTTCATTAACACTGTTACATATTTTTAATCGGAGAATATTTCATTTTTGAGAAGTCCAATCAAAACTGTATTACTTAAACTAAACTTATCTTATACATGTTTTGTTGAAAATAAAATTTAGGTTTGGATTATGGTTTAAAGAAAAATATTGCGTTTGTTTGCAAAGACTCACTGAGAAAATTCAAGATTTGAAATTCAGCAACCATTTGATGGGTAGATGACTTTTTTCACGCTACATATAGATATATCACATATTCCGTTTTGATAAAGCAAGCATTATAAACAAGTGTGACGTGATATTTCTTCCTGTAGATTTGTGAAAACCTGAATACAAAAAACAACGAATATTTTTTGAAGGGATTCCTATTGACCAATTAATAATGACCCAACAAAACGATCATTTTTTCTCAGTTTCCATTATTCTAAATGATTTTTTGAACCGGTCGAATCGAACCAGTTCAAAAATTTTGAAATCAGCATAAAAACTGCCATCGGACAACAAATGTTTTTCTAAACAATATTTTTTGTGATGGACAGAACTGCACTTCTTTGTAGTCCTTTTATTTAATACTTCTGTTGGTAGTCCTCTTTGAGTTTGATTTCGATTAAAAATATTTTCTAGAAAAGCATATGCAGTTCGATTTAGTTTTTTGTGATCATTCTCAATATCATATGCGTTTACTCATTGAATAAAATAATAGTAATCGATATTTGCTAAATGCAAGTCCATTTTTGTATGACTTTTTCTAATTCTGCGTAGCTATTTTTTAGATTGTCGAATGACGTATGATATCTGAGAACAGCTCTTTGGGAAAAAGGAAATAGGTTTGAAGACCCCGGAGTCACCCCAAAACAAGGTGATTTCTATCGAGTTTGCTGAGCGAAAAAACAATAATCAACTACAGTCAGATATAGATGAGCGAATTGCATATTTACTGTGCCGTTTCGAGAAACACAAACGGCGAAAAAAAAATTTTCGAATTAAAAAATGGTTGGTAATGCATTGTAGCATAGTATATGAGAGAAGAATATAAATAAATTGTACCGGCTAACACTATTCAATTGATCACGATAAAAGAGAACGTGGATGATCTCTTCCACTAATCTTTTTTAATTAAACAAGTACAGTCTATAAAAGCAGCGTATAGTGTGTTGATAGCTCTCCTGTAAAACGACGAATGGATTGATATACAATGCATTGAATTGGTTTTTAGTTACTGGTGTAGTTATTCATTACTTTAATCTCATGTGTCGTTTTCAAACTAATTTTTGTTTATCTTAGTAACTTAATGTTTTTGGACACTAATATTTTTATCAGTTGTTGACCATAATGAGTGGATACAACGATTGAAATTTCATGTCAAATTGTCATACATTTAGACAAGGATATATCAAATATAAAGAAAAATTACGCGTGACATTTAGTATGACGATAGAATTTTCAAATTTTGTTTTAGACTTTTTCTTGACAAGATACAATATAAATTTCTCATTTCTTTTTCAATATTTCGGACTCCTATTTATTGACTTTCACGTAATTCTAATCTGACCATTTTTACATGAATTTTTCAATCGCGGAGTCATTTGTTTTTATTTCGCGTTATATAAAATCAAACAATGATTATACACTTCATGTTCAGAAAAAACTTAAAAGGAAAATTGTAGTGAAATTGCCAATCAGTATTATATTTTAGAAGTGTAGACCATTTACTATACATTCATCAACTTTCGAAATTCACATGACAGAAGAATATATCAGTTAGATATTATTTTGTTAGTAGTATATAGCAGTAAAAATCAATCTTTTTTTAATTTTGTGCATCTAATATTTCGAGACTAATTTGAGATAAATTTGTGATTTTTTCTACGGTACTGAAGGCTTCTTAGAGGAGTGTAATCTGGAAAAAAATCATCAGGATTGATTGAGAGGAACTAAAAATGCTGAACTTTTATATTTAAGAGTATAACGGTACCGCAAAGTTGCAATTGGCTCATAAATAGTTATACTTCCTTTTTGGATGCTGAATCACGATGATATAGTGTGAATAATAAACGTGAAGGGAAGCTGAGCAGAAATTCGAAATTTCTTGAAGCCAGTTACTTTTATGACTTTCTAAACATAGCATCTATTGTGCAGATTTCTACATCAAAACAAAGACATACGAGATGAAAAGACTTCATACTAGCAATTAGCTTTCCAACCTCTATCGAATCATACAGAATTCAACGAAATGTATTTCTTTGACTATCATTTTAATTTTACGCCACCTTAATCGTTTGAGGCCCAGTAGGAAGCATACTTTCAACCATTCAAGAGTTTTCAAATCTTCGGTACAAAGGTTTGTACGAGATCACACGGATGATAGAATGTATGACGGACATTGAAAAGTACACCATACAAAGGTTTTTCTTGGTTCAAAAATGTTTTAAGACAATTAACTAAGTTTTATCAAATTTGCTTCAGTAGAAAAATTCGGATCTCAAAGAGTTAATTAATTTTAATTTTCATTAAAGCCCCTCTCAAAACTCGATCTCTGTCCTGAAGCGTTCAAGTCATATAAACTATAGTAAAATTTTCAGCCTCATATGATGACTTTTGAAAGAAATATTGGTCAAACAAGGGCCAAAAATAGGTCGTTTGCTTAACTAAATTTCTTTATTCAGATTCATTCTATATAATTAAATTTTTTCGTTTGCAAAAACCTGTCAGAATGCAGGACACCACAGCCCTTTTTCTAAATTCTGCCTTATTCAGCGAAAAGAAGGAACCACAAGTTCAATGGCTTAAAAAAACCTAAAAATCGCGGTTTTGCTATAGATGTATTCTCTTATACTATAATAAAAACGCTTATTTAAAAAAAAGAAAACTGTGTGCCCTGCTTCGTAACATATCCTTTCCAACAAAAACATTTCAATGCATCTCATGAACCCAGACAGGGAAGTTCGAGTTGTGCGTTCGACATATCATGAACTGAGAAAACAAAATAAATTTTCGACTTTTTCTGAAAACAGTTTATTTTTTGAATATGGAGTGACATAAATCTTCAATGACTTTTGAGAAAAACGAGGTACCGAATAAAAATTTTTGTTGTTTATGAAAGATTATATTACAGGCTTCTTTCCCTACATTTACCTTAGTTTCGATCATTCTAACAAGAAGTGACTTTCTTAACCAGAGCCCTAACTTAATGTTCTCTTGCTTGGTGAGTAGAAGAATAAGACTCATCGATGATATAGTATAAATACATGAGATTGCGATGAAAAGTTTTATTACTTGTACTTTTTTCTGAAAGTGAAAAGCAAAAGTCAAATGACAAGACTTTTATCAGACGCGATGATCATTAACTCACAAACACAGTTACTTGTTTCTATATTAGATCACATGCATGTTTCTTAGTCGAAAAAATGAATATCTATCGAAATATAGATGCAAACAATATTTCTTATTCATGAACCATATCCTGGATATTAGGTTTACTCAAAGCAATTACGTTGCTCTGATAGTCTAATGAGAATTACGGCTAAAATTGATAATATCTAGAACACTTAATATCAACGTTTTATGTACATCAACACTCATCATTGCTTGTGTTCATACATAAATGACATGATCTTTTTCGTACCATCAAAATTATCTCTTTGCAGTAACTGTATTTTTGTCTAATCTTTATTTGCCGTTTGATTGACTTAGTCTTCTTTCTGTTCATAAAATTTGAAAAAAAAACAGTCAATGTAAGATAAAATTTTAACAATAAATCCAATCTTGATGATCTTTTGGTCGACAAGCTGGTGGACAAGTATCGTTTGGATTCTGAGAACCACGAAAAGTTGCTTTAGTACAACATGGTCTTATACATCCAAGAAAACAATTGTCGGCTATTGGCCGTTGAGAAAGAAACGGCTGACCACCCAATGGCTCACAACTATAACTATCAAATATCAGTGAACGTGTTTTAACATTTTCCCAAATATTGTCCGAAAGAAATAGTTGATCACCAGCACCTTTATATTGTTGAGCAATTGATGGAATAAGCATTGGTTGAAAAATATGGAATAAATAATGACGACCACGTCCAGGAGCTGCACCCCAAAGTCCACCTAATATAGGTATATTATGTTGCCTATTATCTCGTGCAATATGGAAGATATATTTTTGCTGTTTATTAGA